TATATATATATATATGTTATTACAAAAAATATATACTGTAAATTTTATACACATTTGTGGTTACCGAATATAAATAGTTTCGATCTATTTGCCCTATTTTTCCTAAGACCTTAAAGTCAAAGTATGTTTTGTATCTGCAAAATATTATAGGTTTATTAAACTAAATCGTCCATAGTTGTGTTATGATAATTATACTTCGATTGAACTTCGTGTGAATTTTGCAGTATTATTGTAATTTAACTTGTTATAATAAATAATATATTTTATTTTTAAAAAATTATCAAATGTTTCATCAATAATTACGTATCTTTTTTGAGTAATCTAATAGTATATATAAAACTTCTTTTACGCTGTAGATCAAAACTTTTAAGTTAATTACACAAAAGGTCATCCAACTTAGAGAGAAACTAAAAAATGAATAATTTCATTCAACCAATAATTTTGAAACTTTTTCATAAATTTGGGCCACAATTGTTTTCTTCTTTTTCCTTTTCTTCTTTTATGCCCTTTTTTTGGTGTTGATATTAGGTTGCATTTTATCTTTTTCCAATAGTGAGGCAAAATGAGACAAAATAATGGTAAAATTGAAAAGCAGGTAAGAAGAAAGAGGATAAACGTAACGTAACTTTGATCTTTTCCAACAATAAAGAGGACTTTTTTTTGGTCTTTATCCTAAAATCGAACTTATAATATGAATTAAAGTGTTAAAGTGAGACTTGGTAAGCAAAATTGAAAGAGAAGAAAAGCTAAATAAAAAATAATGTTATATTTGAGTGGAGAAATCCAAGTGTTTTCCCTTCTTGGCGGACTTACATGACGTGAATTTGAATTAATCGGATCAACAATTAACGTGACGTGAATTTGAATTAATCGGATCAGCAATTAACGACGAGATGGTGATGATGTGACAATGACTTTCAATTCCTTAGCAACATTGTAATTAGATTGCGTTTGAAATATGAAAAAGGGAGTGGAAACTATATTATAAAGAGTTATCCAATTATATAATTATATTAATATTTTATGAAGTAGATAGATATGGATGGACATTGATGACAAATATCCATTATTATTATTCATAAATGGGAAACAAGCTTCCTAGGATAGAGCAAGGGGAATTTCAGGCACATCTATATACAAATATCATCATTTTTATTAATTTATTGTAATTTAGAAAATTCAACAAAAGTTAGTGCGCGGAATTGAGAAAAAATCTATCAACTCCTCTTTGGATTTGTCAAACAATACCTTTCCCTTAAGACTCTTTACTCAAACGTGGACATAAGTTTGACTGCTAATATTTCTAGTATTTAACTTGTTGTACTTTAAAAATTATGAATTTAGGTTTAATATTGATTAAAATTTAATTTACTATATATATATATA